GACTTCCACTCGAAATGGAAGTAAGCTCAACAATTATGAAACCAGAGATTCCTCCAAACCACACTTTTCTTCGTAGTGGTTGACGTCCACTTCAGTCGGGATGAGAATACTTTTTGGGAAGGCAAGTTTATGTGAACTTCACTAGAGGCATACGGTCTACTCACGCGATTGTGGGAAAATTCAACTATCAGCCTCTTCGATACTGGCGATCTTTCATTTCGTTTGATCAGGTGAGTCGAGGGGGTTGGTAGATTGGCCCAAATTCAAGCTAACGAGTCAAGAAAACTCACCTATGTAACTTCGCTCTGATGATGTCCGTGATATGGTGGACAAAAACTCAGCACCTTTTCACCGGAATCGAAGGAGATCAACCTCGGAAAGAGCGTCAGCATGAATCATCCAGTAAAGCCGATCGACAGTTGGTCAAGAGGAATCCGCCGTTGTCTTCTGGTGGAACCGACCTTCAAATCTTTTCACCCAACACTTCCACTCGAAATGGAAGTAAGCTCAACAATCTGTACACTACATCCTTTTATTTAATCTCTTGTCAGTCAGCCTTAGTTCAGGCCTTCTGTACCACACGTCTTTTCCCAACTCCTCTTTCGATGCCGGTCTTAGTTCAGCCACGATGAAGCATGCATTCGTAGGATGACCAAGGCCAAAATTATGACGACAATAATGAGGAACCTAATCACACACACACACACAGACATTACATAAACACAAAGAGCTGGTTGAGGGATGGCCAAATTAAGAGACTCACCTCCGTTCGGGAGTTCGGACGAGCCCCTTTGGCGAGAAGTAGCCTGACAATGTCCGCGTCGCCTTCTTCTATGCAGCGCTGAAATGGTGTTCTTCCTTCGTAGTCCTACAGAAAAAGGCAAGGCAAGCAGGAGTTGAGTTATGCAGACGAGTAGCTTTTTGGGTCCTTCACATGCCTTCAGAGGAGCCTCAAACTGCCCCCCTTCTGGCCACGCTTGACCTGGCGAAATGAAGGGTCAGATGTGTTGGCCGCCCGTCCGTGAAACCTACTGCTCGCCGCTTCAAGGAGCCACCGTGAAGCTGGTCACGAGGTTACGGATCGAGGAGTGACTGGGCTTTGTCGTGATTGGGCCAACCCTCGAGAAGTGAATTCTAGACGCGACTTTAGATGCACCTCTGCCTCGAATCACTCTTCACAAAGAAAGCATCCTTCCCTATCACTGGTCCAGACTGTTCGGGAAATCCTCTTTTTGTCGTCTTAACAACTGCTGGACAGACTTGGTCACGTCATGCTCTACTGGGGGCTGGGGCCACCGGGTATCGTGGACCCAAGCCACCCAATCACACATTGCTTGTGACGCAGACTGCGCGAACAGGAGTCAGGGCATCGCGACAGACCATTCAGTCTCGGTCTAGCCGCCACTTTCAACCCTGAGCGTATAAACCGCAAGTAAAAGTGCGAATCGCAGTAGACTTACATACATTTTGAGCATAGCATGTGCATCTTCGTACATGAACAACGTCTCAACGGCCGCCAGGTTCCTTCCTTTCACCGCCAAATGAAGTGCGTTCTCCTTGAGCTGTGTGAAAACAAAAATGTGCAAATGTCAACTCACACGGAACTCGTTTATTTGCCATTATCTGCACGTTATTCAATGGTCTGCCTTAAAAATGCGATTGAAAATAATTGCTTCAAAGACCCAAAAAAACAAATCCATCTTATCCAAATGACTATTCAAAAAGCAACCTGACGTTTGTACCGAATGGATGTGCTTGGATGCTGTCGGTAGATCGTGAATATGACGAGGCTGATAATTGGACTTCTTACAATGAAGTGAGTGGTTATGCGATAGTTTGTCGCCCAGGCTCGAGTTCATTTTCTGCCTCTCAGTTACCACTCTTTCAGCAACGGACGCCACT